TCCCCCATATTGTAGTGCTTGATGTTGGGGGGGGGGGGGGGTCATCTTACATTCAGGGTCATCTTGTATTCATGTAAATACAGTAGTTGTTGAATCAGTAAGGTTGGGAGGGACTTCATGAGATCATCTTGTCCCCTGCTCTAGGCAGGATCATTTTTGACTAAACCATCCCACCAAAGTGTCTGTCTAACTTGATCTTTAAAATCTCCAGAGAGAGATTCCACACCTTCTCTAGGTACCTGGTTCCACAGCTTGAACATCCTCACAGACAGAAAGCTTTTCTTACTTTCTAAACTACATTTCCTCTGTTTCAGTTTGACGCCTCTGCGCCTAGCCCTGTCCCCTACAGCCAAACAGAGAAAGGTATCTCCATCCTAGCTTTGGTGGGGGTGGGGGAAGGAAGGTGCAACCCATGGCATAGGAGTCACAAATGGTATGGGCAGCCTCTGTGTGTGTATCACCCAGAGATCAAGCAGACAGGTAGTGCAGCAGCCAATAAGGCAGGAAAGTGGAAAGCAAAGCAGGAGATCAAGTAGGGAGCATGGAGCAAGAAACAGAAAGCAGAGCAGCAGATCTGGGAGGGGAAGGGGAACAAAGCAGCACTTGGAGAGGGGACAGGGCTAATTTGTGCCACACATGCCAAGAAGAGTGGCCCTCAGTGCTCTTCTTTGTAACTGTCCTTCAGGTATTATCAAGTCCTCCCTGAGTCTTCTCTTCTGGAGACTAAATAATCTCTCAGTTGGTTCAGCCCTTCCTCATAAGGAATTCTCAGGTTTTTCAGGTCTTGTCAATAAGAGTTCACTAGTGACTTAAAGCACTGTGATTTAAAGCACTGCTCTTCTTGGTATAGCAGCTTTATGTAAAGTTACAAATGCAATCACTTTCTAACTCTTCCTCTAAACCTAAGAATGTTTGAAGGTTCAGAAAAGGTGTTTAGTTGTAATATGTAATAACCTAGATTCGCACGCACACTTGCACGTGGCAGCCAGGCAGCGTAGAGGGCAGCTCTTGCAGCTCTCCGTAGGTAAGTCGGGGGGGGGAAGAGGGTTGAGACCCCCACAGTGAGGGAGGGAGGGAGACAGGGAGTAGGGCAGGGCTGGGGCTGGAGGCACTGCCAAGTGGGGCTGGAGCTGTGGGTGGGGAGTGAGAAGCAACAGCATGGACAGGGCACCAGCATATCAGGGCTGCTCAGCGCCACAAAGCGGGGGTGGGGGGAGGGGGTACAGCCACAGCTGAACCCAGGTCCTGGTGAATGAAGGGGATAGGGGGAACTCTGATTTTCTCAGATAAAACCCCCAAAATCAAATGCCAAAATATATAGGAATTTAAAATTTATTTTATTATAATGATTGAGGCACTGCAGGCTTCCAAATTGCTTTAAAAATGTGAGAATATCAATAAAAATATTGTGTTCAACTGATACCTATCTATCTATCTATCTATATATATAGATATCTATATATAGATATATATCTAGATACACACACACACACACACACACACACACACGTATACATACATATATATATTAGGGACGTTAATTTTAACCACTGAAAAACAGAGATTTTGAGGGGTTTAATCAGATAATTTGGGATATTTAAACAGAGAAAACCAGGATCCTTACTGATCATGTGCTAATACCCTTCCATCTACTCAGTTTAAAAGTATGGTACCTTGAGAAGCTAAGCAAATATTTAAAATACAAATAAAGTATTTTGTATTTGTATAAAACACTTTTTGCTAACCAATTTGACGTAATATACCCTGCCCTTAAATATTTCAGTACAAGTCAAGTCAGGAAATGAGGGAGGATTAAGAAGGTGGAAAGACATTGGAAGATTGGTCCCAAAGTTCACCAGCCTTCTACTACTGTCTAGCCATGCTACATATGCCACCCTTGTTCATTCATTCAGTGAACTACAGTGACTGCAGATAAAACCCTGAAAGACTTAAAATGATCCAGTCTGTAAAATGGATTATAATTAGTACCTACTCACATGTGATGATCTATGTATTCTTTTCAACATGTCACTTGGTGACCACACACACACACACACACACACACACCCCACCACCCCTGCAACAAACACAGGGTGGTCTCTTCTCTCTCTTCTCTAATTCCTTTATAATAGCCCTCTCTAAAGATTTTTCCTAAAGTTATTGTATGTTGAGTGAATCAAATGAGCTACCAAATGTTTATACAACACTATACAAATGAAAATCCATTCCTCATTTTTTTCCCTGTCAGCCAACCACTAAGTTTCCATCAAGTCACTCACAGTGGCTGATCTGCCTACAGTATTCCAGTAAACCATTACTGAACTTCAGAAAGAAGCTGGTAAAGCCTTTACCAGTCTGGAGAAGAATTTGTTGAAATCTCACTGCTCTAATTATTTAGTTGTAATCTGTGAATGGTAATAACACAAGACTTTAAATGCTGCTTTGAACTAGATTTGGACACTTTTTGCTACAAGCCATGATGGTCAATGATCTGTTAATTTGTTCAGAACAAGACACCAAAAACTGTGTTCAGATGTACTTTTAATTCATTGCACCATTATCAGAATCATTTGAGTGACTTTGGATATGCCTATAGAAGTTTACAACATGTTATTTTCTCAACAGTAACGTCCTACGTTTGTGCTCCTATCCTGCAGTAAGAGTAGATTTGAGCTATCTTGCCCCTCAATGAAAGTTATACAAACTTACTAAGTGTAAGTGCAAGACCAAACCCATAAGCACTTATCATAGAGTAGCTTATGATCTGTAAATTCACACACTACTTTACCTTGTAGGATCTTCATTGTAGCTTAAAAGCCAGACCTCATTGTAAACTCTTACTCACTACAGGAACAGCAGACAATTTTGCCATGTTCTGTATTAGTTTCTCAACTTTTTTTTGGACTTAAAGCATCATTAGAAAATGCCAGCTCTTAGTTTTCACACAGTTTTCATTACAGAAGAATATTAGAGCAATTGTTCTGTTGCAAAAAAACCCAGAAAGACCACAGCAGGTCAGAATGTCTTTGACACTATGGGTTCCTATTTGAAATTTCTTGATTTATTGTGCAAATCATGTATAGATGTTTGCACAACGAACAGAGCTAATATTGCATGGCACCCCCAGCACCTTTAAAAGGACTGAGATATACCCACTGGTTGATAATCACCGTTGGAGATTTTGCCCCTCATAGAAAAGCTAGGCAACACTTCCAGCTGGTATACTGAAATATGTACAACTTCACCCTACCAAAGTCACTTCCTCCTTCAGTTTCCTCCTATGCACATGGCACAGATCTGAAACAATCCTGTTTCAGCTGTTTCTGTCTAAGCATAGCTAAAATAAGGATGGGAGGTATAGAGGTAGATTTCAAGATCCTTGTAGTTATCACTCAATTAAAATACCATCCTCAGGTGCCATTGGGTACCATCAGTAACACATGGAATAAAGCCAGATTGCTGTAAAGCAAGGATGAGAC